GTAGATATCTCAGGACACAATGCTTGCATTTAATGCTAAAAAACAAAGACTGGGATTATTCAGTCATAAATTTAACTAATCCTTCATACAGGTTAAAATCTTATAGACGTTTTGGTCAAAAAGAAACCTTGGGGCCAAATGGTGGAGCCCAACCTATTTTTTTTCTAACCCCCCATACCTCAAAACTCCATCGAAAGCCCTTTTATTTTTGCCATCCCCAAATAATGAATTGTCTTTAGGAATGGCAGTTTCTTCTCTTACTGTCCAACATCAAAAATGCCTATCCTTCCAGTTTGGCTTTGTTTGTTTGTTTCTATTTTTGATCATTTTTGCAATCACTACAGCTATCAAAGAAATCGAGACCAGAAAAGTAGTCCCATTGTTGTCCATTCCTGTGATAGAACTAAATTGAAATAGCAAATAATATGGAAACTGGTAAAATTTGCCATTCAAATGATCTCTTTGTTGTTTTAAATGTAGTGACACCAAAATATTGCCTTGCCAATCCTGCCCTAAGTTATAGCTAAGCAGCTATGAATCTCAATATGTGTTTATTTTGGAGAAATACATCTTTCAATAGCAAGATGATACTGATGATAACCCGCAACTCAAGGGTTGACAATTTAGCTCAAATCACCATGTGAAATTGGTCAGTTTCCCATTTCCTTTGGCCTTTTCTGAAAAAAACCCTCCACATTTTCATTCATTTAATCTTTGCTTGATTTTCCTGTTTTTACTGTCTAGCTAGCTCTTTTTCTTCAACTATTTTGAATCCTTGGATACCCAGGCATAACTTTTCTTCAAACTGGGACCAGTCTGCACATTTTAAAAGTGGAATCAAACTGATAATTTTCTCTACCTTTATGGAAGCTCTTCCGAAACCGACACCTTTGTACTCCAAAGAAGGAAGGATTGTGCATGCTATCATGCTCCATTGTTTTTATACATAAATAAAAACAATTAGTGACACTTAAATAAAACACAACTACTGATATATTTTAAACAGTTATGTATAACATCCTAAATGAAGTAATTTTCTGACATTTTTTCTGGCTTTATTTATTTATTTATTTATTTATTTATCATGTCAAGGGCAACCAGACCATTGTATTACATTTGTAACAGAACAAAACAAACAAACAAACAAACAAAACACAAAGTTTGCAAGCTTGGTAGTTGATTAAATGCCCTTTGACTATAATCCAGCTGCTATTTAATAATAATAACAATAATAATAATAATAATAATAATAATAATAAACATTATTTATACCCTGCCACCATCTCCCATAGGAACTGGGGGGGGGGGGGAGCTTACAATAGCAGATTTACAGTTAGAAAGTCAGGTATTTCAGTATATTGACATTAAAAAGTTAGGCATATCAGCTTCTGCCTAGTGGCCTGAAGCCTATTTGCATAGTCCTATCTAGAACAGGCCCATTGAATCCATTGTTGTGTGGTGAGCCAACTGATAGGTAACCCCTATTACTTCAATGTTTTTGTCTTCTTGTTGTTGCTAGGAATGAGAGACCACCAAGAGCCCAAATCATCCTCTTCCCTGCTCAAGTCTTGCAAACACTGATCTGTGGCTTCCTTCATTGAATCAATCCATCCGTAATGCAGTCTTCCTCGTTTCCTACTGCTTCTCACCTTACCAAACGTTATTGCCTTTTCCAACAAGTTACATTATCTCATGACATGTCCACATTATGACAGCTTCAGTTTAGCCATCTTATCTTCTATAGAGAGTTCAGGCTTGATTTGCTTTAGGATTGATTAATTGGTCAGTTGGCAGCCCATTTGTGTGTGCTTGTATATATATGTGTGTATGTATGTATGTATGTGTGCATGTGTATATGTATGAGTGTATGTGTATATATGGTTTATTTGGGGGGGGGGGTTAAGTCCGTTCTGTTGGGGGGGGGTTGTGTGTTTTTAGAGGTGATGAACACTCATTGGACTGTTTTGTGTATTGTGTCAAAATTTCATGTCAATTCAACCAGTGGTTTCTGAGTTATGTTTTTTCCTGCAAACGAACATTACATTTACATAGATAAAGATATAGATATATAGATATATATAGAAATAGAGAGGGGATTTGAGCTACCAGAATTTCTATACGGTGCTTGATTCCATTGAAAAGTCACCTACACCATGAATTTTTTTTGTAGTGCTATGATGGTCTGGTTAACAAGAGACAGGAAAGGTTTATCTGTTTGCTATCTACTTTTTGTTTTGCCAACCTTTATATTTCTGAGTAGCTAGTTTCTGGGTTTCTTACCAGATAGTTGTTTGCAGCCTTTCTTTTTCTTTTATTCTCTGCTCTATTGCCTTAAGTCTCTCTATCACCTCATGACATGATTTCTAGAAGTGGTACTTTGTAACCACCTCTTTTTCTTCCTCCCACTTTCCCTGTGAAGAAAGCAGGTTACACACACCAGCTTTTGAGTTGATTATAATTAATGAAAGTATCACAATCACCCCTTTTTTTCCAAGGGTAGATTTTTCAAAATATATTTGTTTTTTTTCATTCCTCTGCTTTACACACCTGAAGAAATGAAACTGGTTGATTGCTACCAGTAGGGAACCACATCCCTGTACACAATTAGAATCCCATGCTGGAAAAAAAGAGGAAGTATAAATTAAATTGAATATGTTGTTCTATACCATTTTTTCCCATTGTGTGACCCACTTGTTTTGGGTTATGCCCCCATCTGCTCCAACCAGTGTGATAGAATCATAGAATCACAGAATTGGAAGAGACCTCATGGGCCACCCAAACCAACCCCCGCCAAGTTGCAGGAAAATCACATTCAAAGCACCCCTGACAGATGACCATCCAGCTTCTGCTTAAAATCTTCCAAAGGAGCCTCCACCACACTCTGGAGAAGAGGGAGAGTTCCACTGCTGAACAGCCCGTCTCACAGTTAGGAAGTTCTTCCGCATGTTCAGATGGAATCTCCTTTCCTGTAGTTTGAAGCCATTGTTCCGCATCCTAGTCTGCAGGACAGCAGAAAATAAGCTTGCTCCCTCCTCCCTGTGACTTCCCCTTGCATGTGTATACATGGCTATCATGTTTCCTCTCAACCTTCTCTTCTTCAGGCTAAACATGCCCAGCTCCTGAAGCCGTTCCTCATAGGGTTTGTTCTCCAGACCCTTGATCATTTCAGTCGCCCTCCTCCGGACACATTCCTTCTTGTCAACATCTCCTTTCAATTGCAGTGCCCATAATTATACACAATATTTCAGGTGTGGTCTGACCAAGGCAGAATAGAGGGGTAGCACAACTTCTCTGGATCTAGAAACTATACTCCTGTTTATGCAGGCCAAAATCCCATTGGCTTTTTTGGCTGCTGCATCACATTGTTGGGTCATGTTTGATGAAAGTTGTAGTCAAAACCACCTAGAAAGCAAGACTTTGGGGAACGGTGTCACACATAGATTGATGCACAGAAATGTGAAGAGGAAGGGCTCTTCATCCACCTTTTAGATTTGTGTAGAAAGCCAGAAGGCACAAATGGTCATGCAGAGTGAGAACTGTCACAAGTCCTTTCCACCTTTCATACAGGTATTAGCAGAGGGGCAACATGCTTGTCTTACTCTAAAGCAAAATATGGCTTTAAAATGACAAAAAGATGCTGTTGTGCCTTAAAGAGTTTAGTAGATGTGTTGTCGAAGGCTTTCATGGCCAGAATGACTGGGTTGTTGTGAGTTTTCTGGGCTGTATGGCCTTGTTCCAGAAGCATTCCATACTGATATTAAATCCACATCTATGGCAGGCATCCTCAGAGGTTATGAGGTTTGTTGGAAACTAGGTAAGTGAGGTTTATATATCTGTGAATGGTCCAGGGTGGGAGAAAAAGTCCCCCAGACAGCAACCTGACAGGCTTTGAAGCTACAAGGCCATTAAATACTAATCAAGGTGGCCAATTGCAACATTCAACCTTGCCTCAAGCAGACAAGAGTTCTTTCTCTCACCCTGAACATTCCACAGATATATAAACCTCACTTGCCTGGTTTCCAACAACCTCTGAATATTCCTGCAATAGATGCGGGTGAAATGTCAGAAGAGAATGAGCCCCTGGTGACGCAATGAGTTAAACCCTTGTGCCAGCAGGACTGAAGACCAATGGATTGGAGGTTTGAATCAGGGGACAGTGTAGATGAGCTCCCTCTGTCAGCTGCAGCTCCCCATATGGGAACATAAGAGAAGCCTCCCATAAGGATGGCAAAACATCAAAACATCCGGGAGTCCCCTGGGCAACGTCCTTGCAGATGGCCAATTCTCTCACACCAGAAGTGACTTGCGGTTTCTCAAGTTGCTCCTGACACCAGAAAGAAATCATATTTGAAAACTTTTTTCTTACTTTTTCTTCCTGCCACATCTTTTCATTGTGAGGAAACCCTTTCTTTGTGGAACCTGATTCAGCCGAAACATTGACAGCCTATGCTAACTCCTGCAATGGAGCATCTCTCTGGTTTCTCCCCTTCCCTTGATGCCCTGAGGATCTGCTCATTCTGCTGAATGGTCGAGCCAGCCCTGGACAGCCAACGGAAGAGGAGAGAGATACGCTTGGAGCTTGGACACACATTCCAGCAGATTGGACAGTGGCTTTTCTGGTTTTTCCTTTCCCTCGGGTGCAGCTCAGCTTCCTTTTCCCCCATCTCGTCTTCTTGAGCATCTCTCCCTTTGCCCCACACACAACTGGGAGCTGAGTTTGCAAGCTGAGGAGAGAGGGATGGGAAAGGGGAGGGCTTGCCAAAAAGGGGGGAGGAACTGAGGATCTATTTTTTTTGGAGGGAGGGGGGCACTTGGTGGTTTTGCCTCCCTCTGACGTCAGAGGCCGAGAGTCCACAGCGATTGGGTCTAATTAGACTTTGCAGCAGCTGCGAATCCACGCGCGGATCCTCATTGGCTCCCAAAGTAGACGGCGGGGGCCAAAGAAGGTGCAAAAAAAGAGAGAGAGAAGGGGGAGGAAAGAGAGAGGGGGGGGGAGGGAAAGAAGAAGGGAGGGAAGGGGGGAGGAAGAAGAAGAAAAAAAAGTCAATGCACCGCCGTGCATTTCCAGCCTCCGATAAAGCCCAGCGCTTGAGGGGGGAATGAATGAAAGAGTGCGAGAGGAAGGGAAAGGAAAGGGAAAGGGAGAGAGAGAGAGAGAGGGAGAAGTAGCAGCTGCTTTGATTTAATTCCCTCTCTATATTAAAGAAAAGGGAAGCAGTGAAGGGAAAGGGCAGGAAGGGGAGTCGCAGCTCCTTTGATTTAATTGTTACGAAGAGGAAGAAGAAGAGGAAGAAGAAGAGGAAGAAGACGTCTGCCCTCGCCACGTTCTCTCCCTCCCTCCCTCCTTCCCTCCGTCTCTCTTCTTAAGAAAGAGCGCCAATCTTTCGAGCGCATTCAGAAACAAGCGTTTGCTCTCTCTCGCTCTCTCTTTTTGGACAGCGTCCTCTTTGAAAGGCGAGCCCAGCTCTCCCGGCTGTCGGAGGGTCCGGAGGGAAGCGGCTTCGCGTGGAGGAAGGAGGGAAGAAAGGAAGAAAGGAAGCAAGAAAGGAAAAGCCCCGACCGGTGCCCTCCCCTGCTGTCCCTTTCTCCTTCTTCTTCTCGCCTCTTCCTCCGCGATGACCTCCGTCTTGGGCAGCAGCCGAGGGGTTGGGGGTCCCAGCGGGCAACTGAAATGTAAGCCCAAGAGGAGGAGGAGGAGACGGTCCAAGAGGAAAGGTAAGCCTTCTCAAGGATAATACAAAGCTATACATCAACTAAGCTCCTTTCCTCGGGTAGTGGTCGCATGTGCTTCTTTTTTGGCGGTGGGTAGGTACTTTTTTCTCCCCAACGTGCATTCGCGTGGGAATCTCTCTGACCCGACACAAGGCGGACACTCAGGGAGCGTTTGAAGGAAAGACAAGGAGCCCTTGCTTGTAAAAGGGGGTGTTATATGTATGTGCATAGAGGGCTAAAACAAAAGGTAGAAGGGATGGAGAAGAGCCTAGTTTGCCTTCTCTCCCTGCCATGGATCCAAATAGCTTGATAGATACTGCAGAGGGAAGTGGAAGCATCCCTGGCAGGTGCTCTCTTTGACCCCGTCAGAGGTAAATCTATATACAAATAAGTATCGATAAGAGTCTAGTTTTCCTTCTCTCTCTGCCATGTATCCAAAGATCCAGACACTGCAGGACAAAGTGGAAGGAGCATCCCTAACAGGGGCTTTCTTTGACTAGCAGGGGCTTTCTTTGACACATATATATGCACATACACACACATATATGTGTGTGTATATGTGTGTGTGTATGTATGTGTGTGTTTGTATGTATGTATGTGTATATATATATATATATATATATATATACTGTAGTTTACTTCTGACAGGTTCAAAGGGAGCACTTCAGAGAGATGCTTCAACATTCCACAGATATGTAAGCCCCACTTGCCTAGTTTCCTACAAACCTCACAACCTCTGAGGAAGCCTCCCATAGATGTGGGCAAAACGTCAGGCAAGAATGCTTCTGGAACATGGCCATACAACCCAGAAAACTCACAGCAACTCAGTGATTCTGACCATGAAAGTCTTCAACAACACATTGCTTCAGCATTACATACACACACACACACACACACACACACACACATATATGATTTCGAATGAGTTAATAGGACAAGGTAAAATAGCTGGAACTCCTAAAGACTCTTGAAAAGAATCCAAAGACTTTGTAGGTCTCTCCCCCTTCCTTCTAAAACATCATTACACAATTATCTCCATCACATTCAGTTGCCATTGCGATAAGTCCCAGTTTCTCTGCAGCAGTGTTTAGTCTACCCATCGGGATCTCTGTCCCATCTGGAGAAGAAAATACAGGTTGAGCATTCCTTCACTGAAAATCCCAAATCCCCCTAAACCCAAAGTGGTGCTTCAATGTCAACATTGCTTCGTGTGCAAGATCATTTTAGAAATATTATATAAATAAAATCACTGCCAGGCTGTGTGTATGAAACATAAACAAATGCCACGTTTAGATTTGGGTCCCATCTCCAGTGTTTCTCATTATGTATGTAGATGCAGGTAGTCCCAAATGCAAAGCACTTCTGGTTCCAAGCATTTTGGGTACTCCACCTGTGCTGTGTATTTGGAATCATGTCCCATCCGACCATTTCTCATCTCTCAGAGATGTATTTTGAAAAGGAGAAGCTCATTTGCATTTACAGGGAGGCGGAGAGAAAAATAGACACGAGGAGAGGAAGGAAGAAAAGAGGCCAATTTGATGACAAGTTGTTTCCGGCAAGTTGTCATTTTTGCGCCTTGTTGTTGTTGATATTATTACTCTTATTGCCAAGGCTGGCTGCCTTTAAAGTTAGGGAGTGTATTAATGCCACACACTACTCCTCTAAGGAGAACAGAATTCTATAAATGATAGATGAGCAATTATCCTAATCCAAAAAAGAAAGGAGCACAGCTTCAGAATGTCACTGAAAGTGGAAATGTCTGCTTGAGATTAAATGAGTTTTTTCTCTCTCCAAAGCTGTCCTGTTTCCTTCATAAAGGAAGGAGGGGATGCTGCCAATGGATTGCGAAAGCTGTATGTGTCACTGAAAATGTGGCAAAATAGTTGAAAGTCAAATACTTCATTCGGCGAAATGTGTTATGGGCAAAAAGCTCAGCCCAAAGTCCCTTATCAAAGTCCCTTAAATTCCACTTAGGCTGTACTTGTCATTTGTTACAGAGGCCTTAGATAAGTTACTGTCGGCTCACTCAATCATTGCAAGACTGAGCTTTCTTTTTGAAAGTTGGGATGGAAATGCTATCCTTTCTCCCATCTCTGGGATTTAAGCAGTCAGCCTGTACAAGCCTAAAAATATTGCTTGCCTAGGTTAGACTTTTTATTACTTTCTTGTTTTATAGTAAATCTATCGTGAATGTGCCTCTGTGTAGGTTTTGGGAGCGTTTTCAAAACAGAATCAATAATAGCTTAATATTATTGTTTTGTAGTGTTTCCTTTCAGTTTGGGCTTTCCTCCAGGTAGGCACCCAGGAGCAAACTAAACCTTCAAATCTGCAGGTAGCAAAGCACACAAATAAGACAGTGCTATATACACTATCATCCTATTTTTACTTTTAACTTTGGAAAGAGAAAACTTATGGTATGTGTATCTTCTGTCAGAAAGGGAGCTCCTAGAAGTTTCAGAATTAGTATTTAAAATATCAAGTTGAAAGGGGAAACATGACATTATTCATTAGTTTTTACCAAACCCATTCATCTAGAAGTTAGATCTTTGCACTATTAGTGAATCATCCCTTCATACTGTATCCCAGAATTCATATTCTGCTTCCAATTCTATCATATAGAGCTTAGAGACGTTGTGTCTGCTTTCAAGGTATCCAAAAGTTGGCATCATTGTATTTTTTTTTCTTTTGAAATGAATAAATAATTCATTTTAACAGTATTGGTATGTTTAATGTATTGTCATGGCCAGGATTACTGGGTTGTTGTTTGTTTCCTGGGCTGTATGACCATGTTCCAGAAGCATTCTCTCCTGACATTTGTCCTGTATCAAAAGCAGGCATCCTCAGAGGTTGTGAGGTCTGCTATATTTCTTTGCATGCAAATTCAACCAAGTCACTTTATTTTCAAGCCAATAATTTTGAAAAAATACACAATGAAAATGCATTAATGTATTACACCTTCCTTTCTGCACTTTTCTCTCTGTGTATTTATTATGTCTTGTTCTCTTCTTCACTTTTAAACTTACTATGGATACACAAAAGTATTATTCTTGTAAGGTGTAATTTAGTTGAGTGTTACCATCTATGAAGACACATAAAGGAAGCATAGTAGCAGTGGCATCAAATGTCAATTACTATATAAGACATTATTAGACTGATTTTTTTTCAGTATAGAATCTGTAGTTCGTTGAACCTTATTTAGCAATTTTGCCTCATAGAATGTATTAGTAGAAAAGGCTATCTTTGAGAACCATTTTTCTTCTAGGGACCATTTATTTAAAAAGATACATAAAATAGCAGTATGAATATTATCCTTTGGCATTTAACCTGTTGAATTTGAGAATAGTGATATGATAAAATTGATTGTCATTATGGACACCTGTTTTTGAAATATCATATTGCCACTTGAACAATCTCTGGGAACATTCAAAAGCAGTTGATTCAGCAGTAAATTAATAAGTGATAATGGCACACATTTCTTGTCAGGTGCACAAATGACTTTTTTTAATGTATCAGTAGAGAACCCAAAATAGTACATGCTGACCTGTGTCATATAATATTGTATGGTGATACAAGTGTTCTTTAAATGATTCAAATGCTTCTCCTTAGTGTGTTGTGTTTCTTTCAAAAGATCGACTCTACTTTTAAAGTAGGCAAGATGTTAGCAATCCTGTCCTGCAGATCTCTTTGCATTCGCTCCAACACACAATCCAAAGAAAGCTAGAAAACTCCCTTGATAAATGTGTGTTTGGCCCTGAAAAGTGTAAAAATAAATAAATAGAATGGCCATCCGAGTCACCGTTCAGTTGACAAATGTGCATCAATTATGTATAGGAAAGGGAGTATTTCCCCTGACATATCGATGTGACAAATTGGTTATCATGTTGTAAAGCTGCGATTTGCTTTTAACCTCCACTGCAGAGTTAAAATTGTGGATATCCCTTTGATAGTACAAATTGTTGATATCCCTTTGATGAGTTCTTTCCCCCTCATCCTTCTGGCTTACTTCCTGAGATTTCCTGCTGCTGATCTTGTTGTGTGTGTATGTCCCTTCAATACTGTAAGGTAATTCAGAAGTGTATATCCACAAAGTACTTGCTACTTCGAAGAAGTGCTTTTGCAATTCCTAACATAGCTAGGAAGAGTTAAAACTTTGTAGTGGTGATCATACATCGGTTGGTATAGTATAGTTTAAGAAACATGAAATATTTAAAGAGTCGTTTTTAGCACGCCTTGAATTGCAGTGATTCGTTTAGAGGCAAGTCCATTTCGCAATTTTATCACTCCAAAATAACATTGCTTTAAACTTGGGATATAAACTAGCCAAACAGAAGCTCTTAGATACCATTGATGTCAGCGTGTATGAAAGTATAAGTTTCTCCTCTTATAGGTAGGTAACATAAAAGAACATAACTGAAGTGGATGTGTGTATTTATTGATTTTTTTTTCATATAGTAGCTGAAAGAATGGCCCTGAATATATCAGGGGACGTTATCATTAACAGATTGCTGAAGGCTCTTTCTACATGTGCAAACATCCTTTCATTTATCCCGCGAGTCTAAGACAATGATGTGAATGCAAATTCTGTTAATTTCAGTACAATCTCCATTGAGTAAGGTGTTATAAAACAGGATGTTATTTGCTACCAGGCAAAGTACTTTCATCTTCAGATCAATTGTTAACTGATTTTAATTATGCAATATGTTTGCGTTATCATTTGGTGGGGGGGGGGGGGTGGAGCCTCAGCTTATGGATAAATATCACTTTTCAGAAAATTATAATTGTGATTTTTTTTTCAGAAGCACTATGTTGTATTGTCTGTCCATGGCTTGAGCTAAATGAGTTCAATATGGGAGTCACTGTTTAGTTTGTAAAGGTTTGTTAATATGTGACTTTGTTTTGTTTTTAATCGTAGGTTTGGAATGTACTAGCATTTGAGAAGCATAATGGGAAATCCTGGAGTACATGTTATATAAGAGGGTCTCCAAAATGTTTTCATGACATCA